TATCTATTAGATTGTTCTTTTTCCTTTTCTTCTAACAACAATACACCTACCATCAAACAATATAAGGGAAACCTGTTATTGGCCATACTTTTAGTTTGTTACATTAATGTTAATATTTTCTATATACGCTGTTGGTTTTCTAAATAAATAAATAAATAAATAAATAATGTACGTTCCAGCAAGGTCATGCACGATGCAAGATGCAAAACGATAAGGATTAAGCTTGACATACGTCAATAATTTCGATGGATGCATTTTGTATCCAGCAAGGCAGCAGCGAGCCTCCTTACTACTTTTCGTATCGTGCTGATGGATAATGAATGAATAGGCTGGAAGTACGTCAAAGCTGTAGTGCACCAAGCATGCTAGATCATGTGGATACTAGCTATACAGCAGATTTGTCATTTTATGCAGTAACCGTAGACTTCAAATATACATCTACTTTCAATTATTAAATCTTTACGCGTATTCCCCACGACATGATAAATGAAAGAAAAAAAAAACATTTTATTACATTTTATCATTATATCGAGTTTTTACTGTTATGGAAAATTCGTAATTTAGCTTTATTTAAGGAGATATATTTAATGGGCGTCAGAGGGAAACTGAGGCAGACGATGGGCAGTAGCATCTTTCTCATAACAGCAAAACAACAAAAAAAAATGCGGTTGCCAACCCGCTTGCCAAGCGTGGCAACTATGGCAATATACCCCCCATGATAGTAAAGAAAAGAGACAGCCCCTAGTCCCCGGCGGCCCCGCTATTCCTGGCTACGGTGGCGACCATGGTAACGGCGGGGCAGGGGGGGCTAAGAATCTCCGGTGGAAGTTCGGTTGCCACCAATGACGACTCGACCTGGCAACTTATAACGCACGCACCCTGAGGACTGACGAGAAGATCCTGGAGCTGGAAGAAGAGATAGACAAGTTGCGCTTTAATATCATAAGATTATCCGAGGTCCGAAGAGAGGGGGAGGACACGCTAATCCTCGAATCCAGCAACTAGTTCTATCACCGGTAGGGCGACTATCTGTCCCAAGGAGGTGTCGGATATATCGTCCACAACTACAAGTCTCTCGTTAACAACGTTGTAAAGATTGGGAGTGTGTCGACGAGGGTTGCGTATCTTGTACTCAGAATCACCAAGTACGGTATTCGCTGAAGTTCATACAGTATATGCGCACTAACCTCGGCACATCACGATGAGGAGGTGGAGGAAATGTATGAGGATATCTCTAGAGCCTTGCATTCCTCCAAAACCCACTATACGGTGTTAATGGGAGACTTTATCGCAAAACTAGGCACAAGAGAGAACGGTGAGCTGAAAGTAGGGAAATTCGAAATAGGGCAACGGAACCCGAGGGGCCAGCAGCTGGCCGACTTCATGGAGAAAGAGGGACTCTTTATGATGAACTCTTTCTTCCAGAAGCGGCCACAAAGGAAGTGGACCTGGTCGAGCCCCAACGGTTCGACAAAAAATGAGATTGACTCCATTATGACGACCAGACCACAACTGTTCAGTAATGTCTCAGTGATTGCGAGGGTGAAAACTGGTAGCGATCACCGAATGGTTAGAAATGAGGATATCCATAGTAGAACCAGAGTGACCGACATAGCCCAACGGATTAGTAAGCTGAAGTGGCAATGGGCCGGCAATATAGCTCGAAGAACCGACAACTGACGGGGAAAAAAGGTTCTCGAGTGGCGGCGCCGTACCGGTGGGTGAAGTGTAGGGCGAGCCCCCACTAGATGGAGTGACGACCTGGTAAGACATGCAGGAAGTCAATGGATGCAGGTGGCCCAGGACCGTGCTTTGTGGCATTCCTTGGGGGAAGACTATGTTCAGCAGTGGACTTGTGAAGGGCTGTAATGATCTTACTTTTAATTACAAAATGATTCTTACACGTGTAGGATTTTATTTTCTGTTACTAGCCGCTTCGACGCCTAATCAGAACATTTTAAAAAGCATCCATAGCTCGTTCATATTTTGAAATTGGAGAATAACTTTTCTTGGCGTTTTCTATTATTTTGGTGGCAATTCAAAATTTAATCTGAATTTTATTTTGTTCAAAATGGGCAAAAATAAAAGTTGTGACGCGTCAACTAGGCAAATAATTGTTAATTTACATATAGATCATAAGTGGACGTACAGAAGAATAGCTGAGCATTTAAATTGTTCTGTTAAGAAAGTTTTTAATGCAAATGATTATTATAAAACACATGAAACTGTTGAAAATGTTCTTAGAAAGGCTCGGCCAAGAAAAACCTCTTCCAGAGAAGATACGCTAATCGTTCGTGTTGCTAAAAAAGAGCCAAGTAACCAAGTAAGACCATTTGATGACCCGAGAAACATCTCGTTAAGACTGATACGCCGAAGATTAGTGGAAGCTAAATGTTTGAAAGAATCTCTCGAAAGGTACCGTTCTTACCAAGCAACACCGAGAGAGGCGATTATTATTCGTTAAAAAATATGTTAATTGGACGGTACGAGAATGGAAAAAAAAGTTATTTTCAGATGAAACAAAAATAAAAATGGTAAATTCCGATGGAAAGCGCTATGTTAGACGTACTGTAAACAATGCTTTTAATTATAGATACACAAGGAGTATAGTCAAGCACGGTGGCGGCAACATTAAAGTTTGGGGTTGTTTTTCCGGATGTGGTGTTGGCCCCGTTCAGAAGATTGAAAGTATACAATGTGTCCGGTTTCCGATGTCCGATACTTTAAGGGGTTAAAATACAATTAATTTTTTCGACAAATCAGGGATCAATGATTTTTTTTCGCCATCAATCAAAAAATGGCAGCACTTTAAAAAAAATTGTTGGCGAAGCATAAATGCTTGTATTAATTTAACAATATCTACCCAAGTAGAAGACTTTCAAAAACAAAATTGGTCTCAAATGTTAGTTAATAGTGTAGACAATAAATCTAGATTCAAAATATTATTTTTTAATTTTTCAGTATTAGTAAAAAACATTTTTGAAAAATAAATTAGACAACAAATTGATGTTGTTTTTCAGATTCTTAGCTTTAAAAAAAAAACATCGTGTTAACCAATTTTTTTTACTAGTTTTTATTATAATACAGGATATTTGCTATAAATGCACATTTAAATCTTAACTCTGAGTTAGATAGTTTAGGAGCTATGATAATTTGAATGTAACTGTTCAAAGTGCCTCTACCCCGATATTAGATAACTAAACACCCATTCCAGTGAGTAAGATAAAATTCTTCAATAATTCAAGGAATCGTAAGCAAGCCTAATAGCATCCTTTGTGTGAGCAGGTAAAAAACGCTGTGCACAACAGTGCGAGCGAGAAAGAATAACGGCTGTCTCCAGGTAAAAAGGGTGCAGTGTGCGCTTGTGCCGTCGAGCAGTCGTCCCTAGACGTGGGTCGTTACGTCATTTTCAAGAAACGTAACGAAACCAGTGACTGGGTCTGCGTCACCTGTTTCAAAACTAGTGATTTTTGTAACTGGCTATTTTTATTTGGCTACTGTGATTGTTTGCATAAATACCACCAAGAACTATACAGTTACACACGAAACGAAAATAAATTTAATCACTATCTAAGTGTTTCTAGCTATACAGTTAAATCAATAAATTAACTTCCCTTCATACTTTATTCAGGCTTAGAAGTGACTGTATTAAATGTATTTATGATTGTATTGTATTTACTATAAAACTAAGATTTTCATAAAATTATTAATGCAGGGGTATTTACAAGTCAATTTGATTGTATATACAATGATTATTGATATTCACAGTTTATTTAAACTTGTACAATCCACACTAATTATATTTATATAATATAATAACAAAGAAACGTTACAGTAAATGTACATAAAACACCAAAATAACATATAAATGTAAATTTTTACAAGATAGTATTCAAAATTATAAACAAGTACAACGATGAACTAAAACAAACTAAATTATGTTACTTAAATTCAATGTGACTATCGCTTCCCGGAATTGCAAACTGTTGAATTTATTTACAAGCAAAGATCACTCTATTTATATTGTCTATATCTATAGTCTTACGTATGAAAATTAAACGTACAATAATACTGTTACATACGCTGTTTTGTTTATTGTTGTATGCCACATGTGCGCTTTGCGCTTGATCGACTGACAGTCGACTCTCGCCACAATCACAGTAATAACGCATTTACAAAAATCACTACTTGTAATATGACTCGAAACTAGTGATTCGGTTACATGCCGCGTAGTCAGTTATTGTAACTAGTGACGTGAAATAACGCCCACGTCTAGTCGTCCCTCGCTCTGCGTTGTGATAACATTCCTGGTTTTAAGTAAATCTACTTACTGTACATAATTATTGTTTGTTGTTAGACTTTATTACGTTTTTGTTTTGTTGTTGAACTGTTAGTTTTTGTTTATTACAATGAACGAGTACTCAAGCCAGCATATCGCTGACATCCATTTCGTGTATGGATTGTGTAACGGGAGTGCAAATAGAGCTGTTGTAGAGTATGCACGCAGATTTCCTAACAGACGTACGCCGAATGCTCGCACTTTCGTGAGAATTCATTTGAGACTTGCGAAAAATGGAATAAGAAGGCTCGGTAACGAACGTACTCGTGTTTTGTCGCTCCAAGATGAACATTAAATATTGCAAATGATTACTGAAGACCCTAGCCTGAGCATTAGACGCATAGCTAATCGTCTCAGTCTATCAAAATGGTCGGTGTGGAAAATTTTAAAAAGAGAAGGATTACATCCTTACCATTTTCGAAGGGCGCAAGAAATACTGGAACCGTATTATGTAAGAAGAGCAACATTTTGTTCGTAGATATTGAGAGAAACGCGATATGATCCAAACTTTTTAAAAAGAATTATGTGGACAGACGAAGCTACTTTCACGTGATCAGGGTATACGAAATACCGTAACGAACACCTGTCGCTTCAAGAAAATCCACATGCGATCCGCCCAAGTTCTTTTCAACATAAATTTTCTGTCAACGTTTGGGCCGGAATGATTGACGACATTCTAATTGGACCAATCATTTTACCGGAGACAATGAATAGCCCAAGATTCCTAAATTTCCTGGAAACGAATTTTTTGGATGCTTTATTGGAGTTACCATTGGCCTACAGGGCCAGAATGACTCTGCAATTGGATGGTGCTCCGGCACACTTCGCGCTTCTTGTGCGGAATCATTTAAATGCACACTATTCGTCATGGATCGGACGCGGAGGAACAATCGCTTGGCCACCGCGGTCGCCGGATTTAACATCTCTCGATTTTTTTTTGTGGGGCACACTCAAACGAAGAGTGTATGTAAATGTGCCAAATACACGAAAGGAGTTAGCAGAAAAAATAATTCAAGCAGCAAACGAATTGCGAGAAGACAAGGCAATGATCCAGCGCTCTACGCAACATGTTGCACTAAGAGCAACAGCATGTCTGCAGAGAGAAGGAGGTCACTTTGAGCAGTTTTTGTAATTATTTTGCCAAATTAAATGCAATTGATATAAATTATTTTGTTTTATTTCATTTGCTAGTGTATCCGCGCTTTTCAAGTAAGTATGTTTACACTGTCATAGCTCCTAAACTATCTAACTCAGAGTTAAGATTTAAATGTGCATTTATAGCAAATATCCTGTATTATAATAAAAACAAGTAAAAAAAATTGATTACCACGATGGTTTTTTTTTAAAGCTAAGAATCTGAAAAACAACATCAATTTGTTGTCTAATTTATTTTTTCAAAAATGTTTTTTACTAATACTGAAAAATTAAAAAATAATATTTTGAATCCAGATTTATTGTCTATACTATTAACTAACATTTGAGACCAATTTTGTTTTTGAAAGTCTTCTACTTGGGTAGATATTGTTAAATTAATACAAGCATCTATGCTTCGCCAACAATTTTTTTTAAAGTGCTGCCATTTTTTTATTGATGGCGAAAAGAAATCATTGATCCCTGATTTGTCGATAAAATTAATTGTATTTTAACCCCTTAAAGTATCGGACATCGGAAACCGGACAGCCTGTATATTCCTACCTGGATCAATGGCAATACAAAAATATCTTAGAGCACACAATGATTCCCTACTCGGACGATTATTTGCCTGTAACCTGAATCTTTCAGCATGACAATGACCCTAAACACATGGCCAATAGTGTCAAATGTTCCCTTAGCGAACAGCGTATATCCGTTTTGGACTGGCCAGCAAATAGTCCGGATTTAAACCCGATAGAAAATCTTCGGTATATTGTTAAAAAGAAAGTCTCAAACAAACGTAACACCAGTCAAAACGAACTATATGGAGCATGGAGTTCAATCCCCCTAGAAAAATGAATGAAATTGATTGAATCAATGGGACGTCGTTGCAGTGCTGTTATGCGATACGCCACTAAATATTAATTATAACTATTGTTAGGCTGCGGATAGTAGCTATTTCGTAAATAACAATACTAATTACTAATACTTAAAAAAATATGGTTTTCTATACTTTTTTGTTGTTGTTTCTAATAAGTTGACCATGATTGTTTATTCCTTAAAACTGATTTAAATGTTTGTCCGTAATGTAATATTGAAACTGCATTTGTGTAATGGGATTTATATTGTTTATCTAATAAATGATAAATCGTTGAACATATTGTTGTTCTATATTTTTTATAGTATAGGGTGACAAACGAGCACACAGTCCACCTGATGATAAGTGGTTACTGTGACCCATAGACATCTACATCTATCCGCAATAAAGACTCAAGATGCAGATGCGTTGTCACCCGTGAGGACTAAGATGGAATGCCTCTTTGCCAGTAAAAAGGGTCTCCGGTTCTCTCCACTTACCATACGAAACACAGCAGCGTTATGCTGCTATTTTACGCTGGTTTTCTGTGAGAGCGTGGTCCTTCCCCGGTCGAGCCGACCCATTCGTGCTACAACTATACTACTAATATAGCTGCAGCATGGCTCTACCACGTAAAGTTTATTGTTTAATTTCAAAATAAAAACGATTGCGGTGAAGTATCTTACATAATGTTAAGGACCGTGGGTAGGTAGTGTTTCTAATTATACGACCACCACTGTATATATCGATGGTTAGAACCCAGAGCCCAGAGCCCTGAGAGGGATGGGCAAGGGAAATAACATATCGATATATATCGAATCGATATTTTTAACAGTATCTGTATATAATGCGTGATAAATATCGATATATCGTCATGGTTTGCATCATATTACTGACGGTTGGAGAAGAAAAAAAACGACATCCAACCACACATGAACCTCCTTTTGTTGTTACATGTTTTGTCATTATAAAATTCAATTAAACAAATTAAATTATAATAATAAAAAAAAACTAAAAGTAGAAACTTAATTATAATATAGTCCTACTCCCCGCGGTATCGTGTCAAGAACGCTGGCTACGTTTCCCCACTGAATGGCTATACTTAGCCTTTGAACGAGGAAAGAATCAGCCCTCTCATCACCAGCAGCGACCAGCCGCGGATAGAGTTCCTTTAGGAACTTCGCCGCACGTGGACCCCACGGACCGATAGTCTCTACAGCAAATGGCACAAATATGTAGTCATCTCTCAGAGACTCATATTTGCGCCACTTACTCAGTTCAGCTGCCTCTGATGCCGCCCCGGCTCTAAACGAGGTACCCCTGAGATGAGAGGCGAATTATCATTTCGATACCCTAAAATTTATATAGATTATAGATTTAAAATATCAATGATATACATCGATATTTTTATTAAAAAATCGATAATTTTGCCCAAGCCTATTAACATGTTACTCTGCCAGTGACAGATGACAGTTCAATTTTCTCTATGAGATTTTCTATCTGTATCAATCTATCAAAAATATTAAAATATTGTTGTGAGTCAAGTCTTTCAGACGGCGTTCTACGTTGTTTCTTTGTAATATTCTGTTTTAAAATTCACTGTTCACTTAGTACAAATAATGTAAAATGGCCATAAATTTAGAGAAACACCGAGAAGCATTGATTGCAGCATGGAAGGACGTATTAGATGAAAAAACCGACACCAACTGGTGAGTAAGCTCTTCTTGTACGACCTACTTGCTGGCAAAGTGAAACATTCAGCTAATGAATTAATGATTTTACAAGACAACCCTTCTATAAATACGTAATATTTGTATGAGTCTGCAGTGAGTTAGGTTCACAGTTTATACATCACTGGTAAGGATGTATCACTTGTAAGAACTACAAAATATTTTAATAACTTTCAGTAATTTCTAATAATCTGCATATTACATAAAATATTGTGTAAGCGAATAATAACCTATGATCGTGGCTAATATGCAAAGGCCTCTGAAAAAGAAGTAATTTATTAGAACAGAACCTTTCATCCAGTTAATATATTTGGATTATTAACTGCGTGGAAGTGTTATTAACTGCACTACTATAATTTATTTTTAAATTCCACTGGGGGCAATTAAAAATAAATTATAAGTTTTACTATGTGGTAGGACTTCATTTCTGCATCTTCATTATGTAAGGGACACCCTAGACAAAAGTTTATTGACCAAATTGGCAGTATATTGAAGATGGGCCAGATAAAGAGTACCCTTAACCAACAAGCATGTATGCCTAGGTATATGGATGTAAAAGAGATGAGAGGGGTGTGTTCGGATTGTGCCAAATGGAAGTCCGTATTCTCTGCTTACCCCTCTGGGTAATGGGCGTGAGTGCTTGTGATATGATATGATGTTTGTATCACCCTTTTACCAATTTCTGCCACTAAGCAGCGGCTGTGTTCCCCTCTGAAAGATATACTTACAGACTGGGAGACAGGTGGACTATGCAAGGTCATTAGTCACTTCTATTTTATAAAAAAATATTCTATTAATAAAACATAAATAGTAATGGTGATGCTTGGTATTAAAATTATAAGGAATCTTTGACCGTCCAATATTTGCTGTTATACACAACTATTCATTTTCATTGTGCTAATGATTTATTCCATTTAAAGGTTACATAAGTTACAACTTTCACTTAAAAATGAAATTAGGAGACACAAGGTTAGCATAACAGAGTGATGTATGTATTCTGATTCACTTTGCTATTATGAGCCTGTGGAATTGGATTCAGGTTGACATTCATTAATAAACAACATTTATCGAGAATGTTACGCTAACAAATGTCTCCCTTATTACCCTCACATAATATACTCTCATACAATAATGATATATCCAACTATATTGAAAAGGTTTCTCATAGAATATATTATACAATACAGTGGAATCTCGATAACTCAAACCCTGTTAAGTTGTAAACCTCAGTAAGATGAAAAAAATTGCTATTTCCTTCCTCTGAACCTCTAAATATGCAGTATCTCAAATTATTTAGAATTCACATCTTTAACAAAATATTATTTCCCTGTAAGGTATTGATAGTACATATTTATACTCTATTCTAATTTCAAAAAGTAGATTCTGTAAGTCAAAGTTAGGAAAATATATTAAAATATGGAATTCTTCAAGCTCATAGTACTAAAATCCAAAAGGAATGTTAGTTGCTTGTATTATATTGTGTGTACTTTGTACACATGCAATGAATGAATACAACCATTGAAATGAATTGAATAAAGGGGCTGTTTTCTGCAACTCCACGTCTAAGTGTGTATTTTGCATGTGGGCAGGAATAATTTATTTATTTGAGCCATGAAATCTCCCTGAAGAAGTTCAACAGTCCTTTGATGTTGCAAGCAACTTCGAGGAGTGATCCCGGCGTGCCAAGATATCTAGCCCTGTATACAGCAACTTCTGGACACATCAGCAACATGTGAGCCATTGTTTCTTCCTCCCCCATACATGCCCTGCACAGGGGGCTGTCCGTAACACTTATGGTAAATAAATTTTTGTTAAAGTTACCGTGTCCTGTGATAGCACTTGTTACTGTCCTGATCTGCGGCTCGACCAGTCTCATTAGAACCTTGGTTAAACAACTATTTATTTCAGGCAGGACCTCCCTAGCTTGTCTACAGTTTACTAGATTTTTTCCAAAGTTAAGCGTGTTGATTAGTGTAGTGTGTACCAGTGAACGAATATTACCAAAGGGGATTGATGTAATTGGTTCCGGGCCAATAGTGGCCAGAGCCGATCCTCTTCTGGCCAGTTCGTCAGATGCATGGTTGCCTCTGGATCCACTGTGTCACTATCCATTGCAGAGTCACATTGTTGTGTTGACATACCTCATTTAATTGTTGGTTGCATTCATATATTAGTCCTGAGCTCACCACATTGCAGCTCAGGGCTTGTAGTACTGCCCTACTGTCGGTCAGTATTGTGATGGAGAAGTCATTAACCTTTCTAGCATCTATTGCTATGGCCGCTTGAATGATACCCATACATTCCGCCTGAAAGACTGTGTTGTAGGTACCCAGCGGTGTGCATATGTGGATGTTCAGGTCTTCAGAAAAAGTTCCAGATCCTACACCTTCAATTGTTTTAGAACCATTGGTG